CTGCTATCTTCTTTTGGTTGTATGTTTTAATCTTCTTTGTTACCAAAGAAAGATTCTATGGTCTGACTTTTTTGCCCCTTTGTTTGCTCATGATCCCAGCCAATTACTTGAGTTATAAACTCTTTGTTAAGGTAAGGGTCTGCTTCCAATGTGGAAAATGTACTGTCCCAAGATTTGGGGGTTTTGTGAAGCTGTTTTTAGAGATACTTCTGGGGACCTGTAAGTTTTCAGTTCTCCCAAGGTGGTATGATCAAGGGTGAGGTGTTTACTCCTTTCTTCACCTGTGCTCTAGTCTATGAGTGACCACAAGCACTCTTTTCTGCCTTGGAACTGTGAAGAGGACTCTCTCTTTACCACCATTACAACCTCCACCATGCCAGAGCTCCTCCTCACCCCAGGACTGCCACCCAGAACTGTGACCCAGATCCAAGCATGGGCAAAGCAAGAGAATCCTGCCTCAGCACCAGCAAAAGATCCCTGCAATCCCCCTCTGATCAGCCACTTGATTCCCCCTCAGTCTGTGGGTCTAGAAGCTCTAGAAGCAGCCACTGCCCCAGGGCTGCACCCAGGGCTGGGGCTGTGACCACACTTCTCTCTCACTGCAGTCACAGACTTTTCCTACTGACCTTCTAAGTTGTCTTTGGTGTTTGTGGGTTGAGAAGTTTGGAAACCGCCACTGCCACCCGTGATCCAGTGTGCATCTTTTCTTGAGAAGCATTTTCAGCCAGGGCAAACTCTCAGCCTGAAATCCAGTTGTAGAAAAAAAAAATAAGGAGTTCATAAGTCAGTTCACTGCTGATAGCATTATCTTTCTTCATTGTAGCAAGACTATCCTTGGACCTACTGAGGAAATAGCAGCTATTTTCTAAATCACCCCTATTGTGATGAAACATTGCTTTAATCAGCCACTTTCAATGGTTAGTTGGAGACAAGCTAGGCAGCTCCTTACTATGCCCAGGCACTGAATAAGCCTCTTCTTGACAAACACGATTGTCCTTGCTTTCAAATAAAACAAATACTCTTTCATAACCCATTGAGTTTTTCTGAAATATAGCTACAGACAAAGAGATTAGTCACCATGGGGAAAGACAGATTGATCGTTCTGAGGGTCTGGTGGAGAAAAGACATAGTCAAGAAAACTCCACAGATAGGTGAGACTCGGGTTTGATTGGTTTTCAGAAATGATGTCCTCTGTTATCATGTCTTTCTGACTTATTTGGCTGCAGCTGACCTTAAATCTTGGACACTGGTATTAATTGGTGCAGTAGGAGACTGGGTTTCTCCAACTGTGCTTGTTTCTAGTCTTATTCTCTCCCCAAATCAACTGATCACTCTAAAGGCATCTATCATAATGCCCTGTCACAAGGTAGGCAGTGAAGACACCAAGACAAAAACGAAGCAAGACTTGTCCTCAGGGAGCTTACCTTTTATAGTATATACGACATATACAGTATATGCTATATATCATGTATATGATATATAGCATATACTATATATCATATATGTTACATATGGTATATAGAATATACACACATAAATGTCCATATACATATTAATATTGGACTGGACCTGTGATTTCACTGGTATTGAAAACTCCCCACAAGGAAACTACCTCTGGCAATGCAAATTAACACCAGCTTGGCAAAATATAGTTAAATGGAGAGGGGGAGATTCTTGTAGATAGAGGAAAGAACAACTTGTTTGAAGGCATTGCAGAAGACTATGGTCTTTATAGGATAAATGTGAAATAAGTCTAGAAAGGTAGGTTGGACCCAGGTTATCAAGGGCTTTAAATGCCAAAGAAAGAAATTTTTTGTTTCATCCTGGGGATAAGAAGGAACGATTTAACCACTCTGGGCCTGATCTCTTCATCTGTAAAACAAGATGATTGGACAAGCTGGTGTCTTAGGACTCTTCCACCTCTAAATATATGGTTCTATAATTCAACAGCATGGACAAGAGTCACATGAGAGAGGTAGGTATGACTGGCCCAACATCTGAATCATTGGATGGAATTCCTAAATTGATGAGATCACATGTACAAATTTGGTTGGTACATGAAATGATGAGAAGCAGTAGAAATAGAACCAGTTTCAAAGCCAGAAAGACACAGGTTCAAGTCTCACTTCTGGAACATAACTGGCTGCATGATTCTTGTCAAATCACTTAATCTCTCCATGATCTATTCAGCTCTAAAAAGTATAATTTACAGAGTGATGACCTGCATTGTTTGTAGGAATTTTTTCATTTGGGAATATTCTACATTAATTAATCCACAGGTCCAGCTCCTGTGCCCATTTGTAATAAAGCCAAAACAGAAGTGTTACTTCAGGAGGACTTTAGTTTTCTTCTGCTATTAGTTTTCCTACTAATTTGTCTGTTTATGTTCAAGGTCTTTGAAGTTTTTTTTCTTCTTCTTGATACTTTTTTTGCTTATCATTCATTTCTTGAACTCCCTCCCCTCTGATTATGGTTTCTTTAGGTCCTGGATCTCAAAGCAACTCAGACTTCTCCCACATCCCTAGAGAACTGTTCTATTCCCTCTGTTTCTCAGTTCTCTTGGCCAGGCATCAGCTGTCTGGAGCCTGTCCCTACCCCACCTCCCACCCCCACAGGGAGGTTAGAGCTTTGCTTTGTGGGTGCTTCTAGGTTGCCACCTCTGGCAAGCTTTTGCTTCTGCAGGGTTGTGCCAAGCTGGCTGTTTAGTACTGAGCAAACTTTCACAACCTAGAACTGGGGTGTCCATGAAACTGGTAAGATGGAGGGGCACTCAAGGTGCAAGGGTGGATTTTTATGCAAGCTTCTGTACTGTCCTTGAGTGTGCTAGTACAGCTTCACTTGCAGTAGCATGGGAGATGGGGGAGCACTGCTAAGTGAGTTCAGGGTTAGTGAGTCAGTTCTTGTTTGTGGGGTTTTTTTAAACCATCATTTGTATGTCCTAGACCGTGTAGACTGCTGAAGTTGCTTTATCTTTGGCACATACTTTCTGTTTTGGAGAGGTAAAACCTGTCCCTTGTATTTTCCAGGATACATACACTAGCCCCTGAAAAGAGCTGCGTCTTTAGAAACACAAGATAAGTCTAGTTTAAAGGTGTGATACTTTCATTCCCTTTCCATTTTTCTCCTAGTCTCTTTCTTCTTGTCTTTCAGGAAACAGAGGCCCGAGGAAGTTAAGTGACTTCTTCACACAGTTGTTAAGTGGCAGAGATGGATTTTGTACTGCTTTGCCTGACTCTAGAGTCCCTGTTTTGTTTTATTTTTATGTACCATGCAATTGAACACAGTTTTCCCACCGTCCTCTCTTTTTCCCTAATCACCAGCAAGAGGAGAATGGATTAGCTACTGACAGAACTTGTGCTCTAAGTAGGGCAGGTTGCAATTCAGACATTCTCTCACCATCTTCTTTGCTCCCTTTCTGGAATGTGTGCATGGGCAAGTGTAGGAAGTAGGGATCCTGGCTAGCGTGCTCATCTGGGAAATGGGGAGGGGGCTGGCCGGAGGGAAGGGGTTGGCGGGTGTGGGTGGATAGGAGGGAGCTAGGCAGGACTGACAGTGCTGATGCTCGATCTCTTTTGCTTGAAGTGCAGCTATTGCCGTCATGTTTTTCACCGGGTACATCAGCATCGCCAAAGCAATGAATGGATGAGAAGAAGGCTGGAGCAGTTCGCTGCTGCCACACCCAGACCACAGTTAACCCCAGCTCTTTCCGTCTCCAGCTCCGTGGGAAGGAAGGCTCCTCCTTCAAGGAGGCGCGGTGTGGCACACTGCACTCCTGCCACGGCCTGAGAGAGGCTGCAGGTGGAACCGACCCGGCAGTCCTAACTTGAAGCAGCGCGCATCTTCCTCCCGGAGGCACCATTGTGCGGGGCACCGCTGGATCCCAGGGAGCTGGGTGCGGGGCGAGGCCAGAGCAGCACTTGCCTCCTTTCCGGCTCTTCTCTCTGCGGGACTTCTCCCTGAGCCTTCGGGGGCCACGGGCAGGCGAACCAGGGCGGCGTGAGCCCTTGGGAGCTGCCGGCCCGGCCCCTAGCAGCGGCAGCCGCACCAGCAACTGCACTCGCGCTGCATCTGGGGAGCAGAGTGTATGTGTGTGGATCTGTGAGAGAGCGCGTGTGCGTGAGGGGGAGAGCAAAGACGTGATTACTTCAGAATTTATTTAAGGGCCGGTGGAAACCACTGCAGCAGCTTCCAGGGGAAGCCCCTGCCCGCCAGAGAGAACGAGGAGGCGCACCGAGAACGAGCAAGGGGAAAAGGCGATGCCTTAGCAGCTCCACGGACCCCAGTTTCAGTACAACGCGCGCAGGCATCAGGTTGGTTGGGGCGAGCCAACTTCTTAGAGTGGTTGGGACGTGTAAGCCTCCTCACGAGGCTTGGGGAAGATAAGTGGGTGTGGAGGGGAGGGGGGAGAGGGCTTGTATTACCTGCCCTTTGGAGCCAGGAGCGCATCTTTTAAGTGCATTAAGAAAGAGCACGGAACAAACCTGTCCAGGATGAGGGGGAGGGGGCGCGGAATTCCTGCCTAGCCTTTCTCACCTGCCAAGGGGTTCCGTTTTACTGTTGCTTTGGGGCTAATGAATGCTCACTAACTCCTTTGTAGAGAAGGTGGCTGCTCAGAACCAGGTGGGGCGCTCTTCCTCCTACCACCCCCCCATTCTATGCTTTTTAGTGCCCACCTTTTAACGGACACAAGAGTGAGTTTATTCACCTCTATTGACCCAGACTTGGGGGGCGGGGAAGGAAGCGAGAGGTAGTTGAGATTTCTGGTCCATTCGATTAAGTTGTGGAAAGTCGGTTTGCTTCCTTTTTCCCCCTCCTCCTCTCTCCCTTGCCTCCTTTTCCAGCTGTAAGCGTGGATTGGTGCGGAGGAGGTTGCTCCTGTAAAGGGGCCGCTGGGGCTTTAAGAGCCGCCTCCCCCCCCTCCTCTTCTTGACAATGGTCTGAGCCGAGCTCTGCTTCCCAAAGCAAAATTTGTAATATGCCATTTTTCCGATGGACGCTTCTCCTTTTGGCTGCTGATGGAGGAGGCACGGGAAGATGCCGGGATGCTGCTGCTGCTGCTGCCTCCGAGCCCAGACACTTGCCGGCAAAGCAATGGGGCCGAGGCTTTCCCTGAGCTACCTTCCTCCTACCCTTGCTAGGGAAACGGTACAGGAGCGCCCGGCGTGAGCCGACCCCCCCCCCAACCCCCCATCAAGCCGGTGGAGACTGCGGTTGTCATTGATCAATTGAAGGAGCAGACGCCAAAACACAGACGTTAGGTACCAAATCTCCCTGATAGCTCCAAGCGCTCTTGCTTCTTCTTCTACCCCACTGGCCCCACCCCACCCCCAGGGAAGATGTATGCAATACAGGATCCATCCCTGCTGTGGTCTCTAACCCTCCTTATCTTTTCCCTCTTTTCTTTTTTTTTTTTCCTTTCCTACTTCCCCTACTTCTTTACCCTCGCCCCTCTTCCTGTGCTCCCGGTTGATGTTGGGTGGTTAATTTTAGTGTGGGGATCGTGAAGTCAACTTCTGGGTGGGGGGGTGTGGCCGCCGGGTTTGGTGTCCAGGGGAGTTCGAGAGGGATTGAGGGTGGCCCAGTGAGTATTAGGACATATGCAAATCAGTAGGGTGAAGAAAGTGAGAAATGCTTCCCTTGGAAATGACAGTCTTTTCTCCGGAAGACGTCAAAGAGTTAAGTAGGAGGGGGAATATGCATGCAATGCCACTCAGACAATGGCAAAGATTTTCTTTTGCTGAATTACTCACTCCCGGTAGGTTAACCGAGGTGGAGCCCATGGGGTTCTTAAGAATAAACCATTGCAGTAGAAACTCCTCCTTACCTCCTCTCCTTTAATGAGTTTTAAATTCCGATGAGCTATTGGGATAGAAAGATTCAATGACATCCCTCAAGGAATTTAAGTCTTTGTAGTCTATGTCACATCTGAATAGGTCCTCCTTGGACTGCTAGAGATTGACAGAAAACAATTGCTTTCCATCCTGAAAGTCCTGGAGCCTGAAGTCCAGCTGGCATCCAAAACTTTTATTTGGACACCAGAGGGATATGAAAGGCAGTCAAGGTTATGGTCGAAGGAATATTTTCCTGGTTTCCCATTTTGAGAAATTGAAATACTTCAAGGCCAATTTAAGCACCTGCCATCAGCCTTAAATACCTACATTAATTTTCTTTCTCACCAGCTCCCCCCCCCCATGAATGATACTTCTAACTCCCAAATTTGATACAAGAGTTGTCTAGTAGTGAAAGCAGTACCAAGTAGGTTAATATACTGTATGCATCTCAGGATTTTTATGGCAAATTTTAAGTATGTCCTTCCGTGCTGTCCAAGAGTGAACTTGCATATTGCCGAATGCTAACAAATGTGTTTAAAAGCCTAGGTACTATGATGAGGAGGGGATGCAGATCCCAATAAGCCATGCATTTTCCTCCATTTATCTTCCATTTCACAATTAGGTCATTAAATTATTCAATCTATCTAAACTGATAAACTGCCTATTTAAAAAAAAAAGAGGGATGTGTTCAGGGAATATTGCAAGTGGAGTTTCAAATGATGACATTCATTAGAAAGAACCTGAGTGCTCATATACCAATTGGAGCTTATACAAAGAAGTGGTCTTTTTTTTTTCTTGGTGGCATGGTCTTTTTAAAAAATCCTTACCTTTTTTTAGTGGCTACTTATTGCATTAAAAAAAACCCTGGAAGTAGAGGACTTTATCTGAATGAATTGGACCAAGATTTAGCTTGATTCTGTGATATATGTTTTTTTTAAGTATTTGAGAATGATCTATCCTGACAGCATAGTGTTTTTACTTTTTTTTTTGTTTCAGGTGGAATTCTTTACAATCTTTTAAGTATCCTGAAAGTTTAGGGAAGCAAATATACCATTTATTCATTTTGTCTCCCAAGTAACCAGCAATGGTGGCACATTGGGATTTCTGAGTAGAGGATGCTAGTACATCCAGTGGAGCTAATGTTTCGTCACTGAGGCAAAATCAGCCAGGAGGAAAATGTACTCACTTTTTATAGTGGGGTTAGGCTACCTTGCTCATGAGAAGATATTTTTTGCTTGAAAAAGTCAAGAGCTAGCTTTATGTTGGTAGGTCTAAAAGTTGTTCAGTTATAGAGTAGCTATAATAAAATTGAGTCAGCATTTTTTTAAAGTCTTGAAGTACCTTGAGAAGATTATTAATCCTGTAGCATTTTCTCATGGATCCTCTTCTTGTGTGGAGATATGCCTCAGGTTACCTTCTTCTTAAATTTCAATATAAAGGAATTATCTGTAGCTTTATTACCTTTTTAACTTTTTTTGTTCATTTTTATTATTTTAGTTATATTATTTTAATTATTTATTTTATTATTATTTATTATTACCATATTTAAAGATTTATTTTAGTTAAAATAATTGGAGAAATAATCAAGTTTAGTAATTTGGTTTTTCAAGCAGATAATGACTTGGGTAATAGAATAATGAAGTTTTATGTCTCTTCAATCTTTTAACCTATGAGCAACTTTACTAAGCAATTCAAGTGTAGATGCTGTCAAAGCATTGTAATTTTTCTTGGCCTAAGGTTAGGTTTTGACTTCAAGTACTAGAAAGAAAACAATATGGGCTTCTTAGAATTATTTTTGAGATTAGCACAGCTATTCACTACATTAATTTCTTGCATGCTTTGTGTGCTAATAGGTTTTTTTAAATATTGAGCTGTCAGAACATCCCATGTATTCCTATTCTGTACAATTTTGTAAAGCGAAATTTGAAGGTATTTATTCCATTCTTTATCCTTTTCCCTGCTAGTTTCTGATGGCAGGTAAAGATGAGAAAAATTAAGAATGCTGCATTTTTACCCATTAGGAGTTGTCAGATTGTTGAAGAATAAAGTGCCCTTTGTTAAAACTTTGCCTAAAAGCAGCGCGAATCATATGCTGTTGCATATTCTAACCTAAGGTCAGGAAGGCCTGAGTTCAAATTCTGCCATTGACTTAAGTATCTGTACAACTATGTACAATTCATGTAGTATATCTATGAATCTCAGACAACTCTAAAACTGTCTGCTAAGGTACAGACCAATTCATGGTGGACATTTCTGGAAGGAGTTTCCAAAGTTAGTCATTTAATGCATAAAATATGATGATCTAAATTTAGCGCTGGGCAATCATTCTTCTTTAAAGAGAATGGTAAAAATGACATCCAAAAATTCCCATTTAAAATAATTTTCAACAAACATTTGTAATAAGCAGGAAGAATAGTCTGAAGAGCCATAAGACCTAATTAATAAATCCTCATTCTAACAGTTGCTGGCTGTGTAACTGATCCTGGAAAAAGGATCAGGTTTTTTTTTTTTTTGGCCAGGCAATGGGGTTAAGTGACTTGCCCAGGGTCATACAGCTAGTAAAGTGGTATGTATCTGAGGTCAGATTTGAACTCAGGTCCTCCTGACTCCAAGGCCAGAGCTCTATCCACTGTGCCACCTAGCTGCCCTGAAAAAGGAACTTCTAAGCCTCAGTTTTCTCACCTGTGAAATGGTGTTGTAGTATTAATACAATTGCATGATTTCAGTAAGGAAAGTATTTTGTAATTATTAATTCAATGTGCAAATGTGAGATGTTATTGCAGGTAATAACTTTTTTCACCTTTCTCTTTCTCATGCTGATATTAAAAAAAAAACTTGGCATTTTTTCTGTCTGAAAACTCTGACTTCTTTAAAGTTACAAAGAGTGTGCTTTATGCTTTTCCCTTCTCTGATTGCAGATTGGTAATATCTATCTCTGTTACTCTGTCTATCCATCACAGGTGTCCTAAAGATTTTGTGGAGTTTAAAGCTACTAATATTATAGTAACTACTCAACTTTACTAGCTTAAAACTTCAGTAAGACTTTTGGGACATGCTTTCACCACGTATTGTAGCGGCCACTTCAATATGGTTCAAAATTTAGGCATGTATGTTTTCCACTAAAGGGTTTGTATTCTCCTTAGTGAATCATGGCAGATAAGAAATGTAGGATCTTATCTATCAAACTGGGAAGGACCCTTAAGAATATCTCATTTCACCCCCTCATTTTTCATTTAAGGGAACTGAGTCCCTGAAAATTGAAAAGACTTATCCAAAGTGACACAGGTTAGTGAGTGGCAGAGCTTAGATTTTGAACTAGGGTCCTTTGAGTCCAAATCCAGCATCCTTTCTTCATTGTGACCAATCCAGTCACAGACAATTTCATTTCTCTCACCAATAACCCAATTTTTAGAAAGGAATGATAAAATAAGTAACTAGTGTCAGATCTTTGGAGCTTGACCTCCTTCCTATTCAAGAACATAACCTGGAAGGAGTGGCACCTGAGACTATTTAGATAGAATGATGAATTGTCTTAGTTTTAAGTCAGAGGATACTATTAAAATCTACCATGTTTTACTATACTAAAATTCCAAAGTATGAATTGCTAGCAACTTATATATGCTGGCATTAAAAGAACAAGAAAAATTGTGTTGTAACAAATGGAAATCATAGAGCATTAAAGCTTTGGCAAAGAATTTTAAAAGCTTTTGTGACCTCTGTCAATACTTGTTTCAACTCTTGATGGCTGTTGGGTTTTCCCCTAAAGCATGCTAGAAAAGGCATGGGATCTAGAGTCAGTGGTCCAGGGTTCAAATCTTGACTGTGTCTCTTAGTAAATATGTGACATTGGGCAAGTCACTTAATGACTCTCAACCTCATTTTCTTCATCTACAAAATAAAAGGATTAGATTAGGTGATCTCTAAAGTCCCTTTGATTGGAGAAGGAAATGGCAAACCATTCCAGTATCTTTGCCAAGAAAACCCCAAATGGGGTCATGAAGAGTCAGACACAACTAACAAATGACTGAATGATGAAGTCCCTTTGAGCTCAAAATTTTTTATTCCATGAAATTATGAAATAACTGAAAACAGGTTGAATCATAGCCAATTTCATACCAGAAACAATTTTTTCTCCTGTGTTAATTTGCCTTTAAATTTATTCTTCTTATGTCAAAAATAAAGTCCTATTCTCATTCTTCATCATGGTGTAGAGGTGACTTTGTGTTCTCAAAGGCTATGCCAGGAGGGCAGTATCTGTGCCAGGCATTACCAAGCTGGATAGGCTTTGACTTATGGGCCGTGTGATAGACTGAGAAATGGTAGTTTCATCATCAAGTAAGGCTGGCTAAGTGCAGAGTTTTCTTTGCCAGGAGTGTACTGTAGGGGGAGAGGACAGCAACTCAAAAAAGCTTTCTCTTTTCCAACGT